TAAGTTTTCCATTCGAAATCGATACAAGTAAGCTATTATTGGAGCGTGGTAATGGCACCCACATTCGCTTAAAAGATTCAGCCGATAAACGACTATCGATACATAACGGCTGCTTGGCTCTGCCTCAGTTGGTTCAGTATCCTATTGTGGCGGCAACATATGAGGCATTTGTAGCTTCCTGTTATTTGTTTGAACAATTTTGTTTGTCATGAGTTTTGACGAGTTCTTGGAAACTTCTTATCGTTAGCTACTGAGCAAAGGTGGTCGATTTTCGTGGGTACCAAAATATTTACTTCTGTGCTCTTTATCTTGCCGTATGATCGTTATAGGAATTATTGCTTAAGAATCCACACCTTCCAGCTTACAACCGTTGGTAGTAGCATATACCACTGTTTTCATATTGATAAGTTTCACTGGGGCTTCCCTAAGCACAGTCGGTAGAGGTGCAGCTACAAAGCAAGATCTTGCTGGGGGTGGCTGCGTTCGATTCCCGGTTCGGTCTAGGAATTTTCGGGTTGGAATTTTTTTCGATTTTTCTGGGCATATAGTATGATTTATAAAATTAATGTAAAAATGGTACAAGCGAGAAAGATCTCAATTTATAACTGTGTAAGTGCTCTTAAAACACTAAGGCTGTAACCCAATTGCCGAGTTAAATTTAACTCGTGGTTAAAAGTGACAATTCAAAAGTGACAGATTCAATGTTCGAAAATCTCGGTGTTATTGATGGATCGGTTTCCAAACAGAACTCCGCCACGGTTGTCAAAATTTAGTCTTCTAGTCTGTCACAATTAACCACTGGCGTGCGCAGCCCTCTTCATTTGAGGGGCCCGCCTACCAAAAGGGGGCGCTTCATAGCTTTGAGGGCGCCAATAATTTTGAAAAGTTAATGTTATTAATATTCTTTGAGCTTTCCAGATTTTCACGATATCTTGTTAAAAGTAAATGATTCAACACTGAGACGAAGATCTCTGTAAAATAATTCATCCGCTTACTTATGTTTTGAACTCCACGTCCAAGTACAAGAGATTTTAGATGCAGCTTTGAATCTTTCTATGCAATTTTAAAATGTCTCTATGTACGGAGAAATTAATACATAATAAATCTTTCCACACCTAAGCTCCCAACAGCGTTGCCAGATATACCGATTTATCGGTACTTATACCGATTTCCGAACTAGATACCGATATACAGATAAGGTTCCTCAGAATACCGATTTTTGAGGTGTGATACCGATTTATACCGATATCTTTTTTAAATAATCAAAATGATTATTGCCTGCCTGCGCTAAGAATTTCAGAGGAAATTATTGTGTGAGACTTGTGTCTTTACAATTCTAAAAAAAAAATCATCTTCAAAAAAATGTCGTATGGATACTCTTTCGATTAGAGTTTCAATTTCCTCATCGTTTGCATTCCGTGAATGGATAAACAGTCGATGGCTCTTTCTGGTAATATCGGGGGAATCGGGAAATACTTTTTAAACATTATTCAAATTCATGGATTTTCTTCCAACTTTCTTCTGGAATTTTCTATTTACGATTCCTCTCGGAAACTTATTTCGACTTCCCTTGGAAGCTTCTTCAGCCTTCGCTCGAATGATTCTTCTCGGAACTTCAGGGATGCTTCTAGATTTTGATTGCGGATCCACTGCGAAAACTTCAGAAAAGTCCAGAATTTTGAGTAAGTTTCGATTAATTAAAGAATGTGACAATGTCAAACACGATGGCACTCGTAGTCGTTTTTCAGTTCACGTTGAAGGTGATAACGTTCTCAAATGGTTCTACAAACATCGTCCGCTCATTGATCGAAAGAAGCATATAAGCCTGCCGGAAGTGGAATCAGAGCATGCCATCAATGGCAACCCTGTATCGATTAGCCGATAAACTGCTGATGCACAGTAATTTCTTCTATCTGTTCGACTTAACGGCCAAAGCGTTGCATATAACAATTCCAGTGGACCCAAGTTTTAGCCGCTTATCAAAGATCAAAACGGCGGGTAATGATAAACCTGGGTTTCGATAATGATAATTTATGGTATGCTTTTGCTTTAATTAAAACATTAATTTTGATTTGAAAACAATTATATTAAGCATTAAACGAAAAAGAAGCAGAAAATACATTCCCTCGAATAAACCGTATGTATGCATTGCAAGCATATTTTGATTTTATACTATGGCAGGTATAAATCATTTTTATACTTAGTCTGTACTCTCTCCCTTTTTACCGACCTTTGCGTCGGCACGGGGAGTTGCGATTTAGCGTAACTTTTATACTATTTAGCTTCCAATAGGGAGCCGCGCTACTTCGTCGTATCATGGCGCCTTGCTTTAAACCCGAACGCAACTGAAACTTCCATAACGGCTGGCAGCAGTCACTTCGTGTCTGCCATGGGTGAACAGTAAAAAGAGATAGCATGCTATACTTTCTCTTTCTAAGAAAACGATGTGCAACGGAATGATTTTTGTGTCTTGTCAACTCTCCGTTTGAGTTTTGCACGTTGTGAATAGTCTCGCGACATCAAAGGAGCTTGTAAATTCAATATCAAGCATGATATTTTGTTCCAATATCACGCGTCGTTATTCCAGCTCTATCTAGATGAAGTAGTTTCCATTTAACACCAGCAAAACAATACTTACTTTTAAGTATATTCTTCCCAAAATTAAGTTTCATTCACGGAAATTTGAAAATAAAAGATTCGAACAATAAAGAGTGCAAGTGAGAGGCTGAACTCAATATTAAGTAAAAAGAACTCAAATTTTGGGTAGTATTTTGACGTAGAACTACGTCTTTGTCGACTATACTGGGGTGCAAATCAAAAAATATGTGCGGTGAAATAGTGTTAGGTTTTGAATGCTTGTAACTTTGTCATTTATAGATGAAAATTAAATCCAAATACGCCAATCGATAGGATATTACATAACAAATCTGCTGAAATAAATATTTTTGTCATATTTCCACAAAAAACATTAGACAAATGTACAAATGATAATTTTATCTCTGTATTCATGAAATAAACTATTTTCCCTAACCCAGTCGTCATAATCGAGTACCATTTGGTTGTACATCGTTCTGCTTGAACCTGAAAATATATAAAACAGCGCTGCTGTTATGCCTCTGCTCATTACTGCTTCGGACGGCGTGGCACTTGGTCCTGCAGCAAGTAGGAGCAAGTCAGCGGATCAAGGTGGATCATGGCGTGACCACCTATCACAATGAGGAAATGAGGAACTTGGAAAAGTTATACATGCAAAACAAATCAAGGAAAAAAAAAAAGAGAACCATAACCGAAACATTGAAATATTTGAAAAATTTAAGATAAAGTATAATAGTCAAAAATGCATGACATACATCAATTTTGCGTGGTTCTACGTCATACTGCGGTCGTGTATAGGACACAACCCTTTATTTTTTTTTCTCCGCGTGGACTAGAAAACCAAATGAGTCGTCTCTTTCGTTCTCCCGCAGTTCTGAAGTAAGGACGAGTTAACGTTACACTCGTCGCTACATAAGAACAGGGAGAGAATGGAAGAGACGACAAATGCTCACTGCTGGACCTATTCTCTATGCCATTGGAAATCAATATGGCTACCTTTTGATTATAGGAATGATAGGAACATGGCAAAATCATACGGTGTTTACTGACAATCAATACTGAGTACAGTTAGATATAATGGTTCGAGCAACAACAAGCGAATTCAAATCATTTCCATCTAACAAATTTGATTTTATAAGAAGAATTTGAGTAAATGAAACATTGAACATTAAAATTATTTTTTTTTAATTTTCTCAAAATGCTCAGTTGAAAAAATACAAATGATTAGATAAAATGTTCGTAGTCTTGGACATAAAAATTCAAGTTTTAAGGAAATGTGATTGTTACTTCATTAAAAAATTAGCAGGTTTGTTTCTCGCTACTGGTACTTGAATTTTAGTATTTTTAGAAAAGATACAAATCACTAATTTAGAATTTGGAGAAATTTATATAGATTAACTCTTTAGAAAGCAAGATTCTAAGCTTTGGACAAATTCTTTCTGAACTTTGAAAAGGAAGGTTACGAAAATCCGCACTAAGATCATATTAAAGAATCTATACAGATTATGTTACAGATTTTTGTCAGCCAGATACAGATTAAATAGATTTTTTACCGTGAAAATACAGATTTAAATAGGAAAAATGTGGCAACACTGATTGTGGACCTAGTGTTTACGGTTCGGACTGAATTTTCAAAAAATGTTCCAATGATAGTATGATCAGAAAAGAGAGCGAGAGCGTGGGTAAAATTCGCACAAACTGAGTGTGATGGTTCTTAGTGAGTCCAACCGAACAGAGTTTTTAATGAGTTGATTGATTAATTACGATTAATATGCGACAATGGCAATACATTCCATGGTATTAGAATCATGGTGTCGTGGCATTGAAGATGATGTACTCAACTACTTCTGCATTACCAATGGATTAAAATGTGGTTACTTCCATAACATAGTTTCCACTTGACGTTAGCCCTAAATTTTGTGATTGCGTTCATCGTGCAGTCAAATGTCCAGCAGTCCAGTGTTCCTTATCGCCGCAGGACCAATTCAAATGTGTGGCATAATCGACCTTCCTCCCAAAATAGATGACGATCCTTGCGCAAAGGAAATAATCGCCGGTTAACAGCCAATATTGAAAACCTATCGAATTGCCACTGTTTACTCAACCATTAGGTGAACCATCAAACCGTCTGTAATCCACATCATCAATAGGTCATGCTGATAAGCCAATTAGTCGAAACAACACGGCCAATGCACAGCATGCTATATGGCGCCATCAGGGCGTTCCCCAAAAACCAAAAAAAAAAAATGATGGAAATCCAAAACGGGCGCAAACCTGCTAGTGCCACCGCCCACGCTGTCGTCGTCGTCGTCGTCGGTCGCTAGTTTTGGCGCGTTATCACTATGATGATTAGTATCTAAATTGTATGTTATTTATCGCTCCCATTTACTTTCGGTCCCCGTTAGGAATGCTTCTGTCGGTTCCGTTCCTGCTGGTCACGTTCTTCGTTTATGCCTGCATTCCGGAGCTGCGAAATATGCACGGAAAATCGCTGATGTGCTACGTTCTGGGATTGGCCGTTGGCTACACGGTTCTGTCGTTGGTTCAGATGGCCATTTTTGAGGGAAAGTCCTTGCCGTGCATGTTTCTCGGATATATGGTGTATTTTTGGTTCATGGTTAGCTTCTTCTGGCTGAACGTGATGTCCTTCGACATCTACTGGACTTTCAGGTGCGTGAGTTTTGAAATGTTTGCAATGTTTCACTGTTCGAATCTGGTCTACTCTTTACAGGGGAGTCCGTGGTGCCAAAAGTACCGAGCGAAAAAAGTTTGCCCTGTACTCGTTGTATGCTTGGGGCTGTCCGCTGCTTCTGACATCAATTGCTCTAATTATCGATAACACCGAACTGCTTCCCTTGAGCTATAGGCCTAGCATAGGTGTTACGCGCTGTCTAGTAGCAGGTAATGTTTCTCTTTCTTCCAAAAGGCCATGGATTTTCAATGCACTTTCTTTCGTTTTACAGAAGACAAATATGTGGAATTTTTCTACCTGTACCTGCCGCTGTTGCTGCTGGTGCTTGCCAATGTAGTCTTTTTCGTAATTACCGCGACGCGAATCATCAAAATCCAACGGGAAACTTCCATGGTGAGGCGTGGAGATTCCAAGCGCCACTCAAAGCTGGACAACGATCGAGATAGGTAAGTGCGAAACGTACAATGAAAGGGCAGATAATGGAAACTCATACGGAAAGTTCCTAAGGTTCTCCGCAGTTGCGGTAGCGGAAAACGTGACACATTATAGGCTCTGGGGATGATTAATCAGATGGTGACATGTTGCGGCAGGTGTGCCCACATAAATTTGCATAGCTGTTAGATAGCTGATTAGAGTGAACTGCTTGCTGTCTTCGGATGGTAACGCTCAAGAGCTTTGTACGATCCGTCTTTGAAGGGTGTGTTGATTTGCTAGTCACGGCAAGTGTGTCTTTTGGGACTCTTATGGAAATCCATTATTTGTGCCTGGTGGCGCAAAATATATTTTTCTTTAAGAGTCTATGCATCCGCTAACTCAAACAAACTTTGCTTTAATCCGTTCTAATTTCTGAATGCAGCAGCAGCATTTTAAAATAGTAGAGTAGGTGGTGCAAAAGTCTTCATCATTGATCAACACGTTTCAAAGTTTTAGTGTACGGAACTTGAAATAACATAATTTTTTTCTGCTCAAAAACCAGGAGAATCACTCGTGGTGTGTTTTCAAGATAACCAAAATGTTTAATTTATTGGTCTATCTCATTTGAATGCTGAATAAAATCACTTACATTTGAGGCGTCAATCATCTGTTTGGCTTACATCATTTATCATTTTGGAGCGTTTAAATACGTGCAAGTTATCTTTTAATGAAAACTTTCAAATCGACATCACCTGCTGTATTCCACTCTAGCACTAATTTAGAACAGTGATAACTGGCAATAGCACGTGAAAACATATCTTTCAATGTGCTGTCCTCTGAAAGGTAAATACGTTTGACGTAGACTACGTCTTATGGGAAGGTACCGGGACCGTCACGAAAAGGTGTTAGGTTTTGAAGGCTTATAACTTTGTCATTTATAGATGAAATTCAAATCCAAATATACCAATCGATAGGAAATAACCCTCAACGAATCTGCTTTAATAAATACTTTTCCAATTGTGCATTTTTTAAATAAAAACTGATAATTGTATCACTGTTTCCATGAAATAAACGATTTCCTCAAACCCAGTCGTCATTATCGATTACTAGGGTTAAAGGGTGTAATGTCAGCCTAGCCCCTCCCTTTTTCCTATCAAGCAAATAGCTCATTCATTCAGCAATAATATACAACAGTAATGAGAAACTAATATCACAAATTTAAAACATTTATTGCTCTTTATCAAACAAAAGGTACAGTGAAATTGTCATATTTTTCGATTTCTAGGCGCCATGATCTTGCCATATTATTGCTCTGACGAAAATCTACACTGCGGTGGTAATAAAAAAACCTGATAATTTCATTTGTGCTTTTTAACTATTGGCACGTCATTTTGAGACATGTTTCTAATTATGGCCTACGAAATTTTATTAATAACTTTATATTGATATTAGGAAAACCATTTGAAACTACCACAACAGTTTAAGAAATGCCTCTCATGTTTTTGTTATAGTACAACAATAGACAATGTGTCTTATGTTAAGATATACATAACAGCCAGTGGGTAATTAACTCTGCTCTACACTACAATGCACTGCACTGCACTAAACAACATGATTAACTTCAAAGTGTTTTTATGTTACTTCATACGCGAAGTTAGCGATTTTCAGAGTTGGTTGGAAATGCTAACATGAAGCTTTAGTGTGATAATTTATTATTATTATTATTTTTTTTTAGAAGAGAGTAGATGGATAGTTCCGTTAGAGTACGGCAGTATGAAAATTGAATAGAAGTTGAAAATGAGCGAAGAGCCATTAATGCGACAATTTTTGAAGATAGACGCACATCTTTTGCCTAACCCGTACGATGTACGCGGAGACTTGAAGTCCATTTCAGAATTGATTGAAGTTTTGATATTTGCATAAAATCTCCACTCGTTTAATTTTGATCTATATTTCGCATAAACAGCGACAAGCTTGCATACAACATTGTTGATTTATGCGATAATAGGGTGTGCGCTATATATCGCAGAAATTAACATGATTTTTTCATACGGTGTATGTTCTGGGCAAAATAGACAATTTTACGAGACGATTCTGATCACCTGATTTTGAATTCGTGAATGAAATTTTAAAGGAGGCAAGTAACCCAAGTAACCAAAAATTACGCATTCAACGATTAAAATCACTTGCAAGTTCCTTAAAGTCCAAATAAAGTTCCGACCGAACCTTCAAGTTCCATAAAGTTCAAATAAAGTTCCGACCGAACCTTCAAGTTCCATAAAGTTCAAATAAAGTTCCGACAGAACTTTCAAGTTCCATAAAGTTCGAATAAAGAACTTTCAAATTCCATAAAGTTCAAATAAAGTTCCGACCAAACTTCCAAGTTCCATAAAGTTCGAATAAAGTTCCGACAGAACTTCCAAGTTCCATAAAGTTCAAATATAGTTCCGATAGAACTTTCAAGGTATATAAAGTTCGAATAAAGTTCCGACAGAACTTTCAAGCCACATGAAGCAATCCGCACAAGTCTTTATTAGTAACAAAATTTAATGTTTAAAATATGAAATGATCAGTGGTCCGAATAAATAATAGTTCTTATATGTATGCAGTGAATCAACATTCTTTCCAAACATAAAAAAAAATAAAAAGTAATTTCCTGGATTCGAACCCGTGTATTCGGAATGCAATCTACGAATGCTAACCACTGCGCCACAAATGTGTTGGAATACCATGCGGGCAAACACCAATTTAAAATTCATCATGTTATGTTTCGTAGTCAAGTCAGCCAGCTGGCGCTGAAAACTCCAACAGTAGGCGGGACAACAGCTCACTTTAATATATTTCAGATGACGTAGCGGTCCGTGCTGGGGCTCTAACGAAGAAGGACTGGGTTTAATTCTTCAAACAGCTCCAATTCTACTACTAATGCTGATAAATCAATTCAAATTAATACCTGCCTTTAGAAACAGCTTTCATATAAGTGCGAACTAAATACAGAATTGGTGTAGAGGACAAAAACCTTTTTTAATTTATTTTCTAAAAGTTCCGTCCAAGTTCCGCCAGAAGCTGATTAGAATGCTCTTAAATAATGGTACCGGAACTTTCAAGTTCTTATAACGATTAAAAAATGAGGCTGCTTAGAATTATATAGACCACCTTCAACTAAGCTGCTTAAGCCACAAATAGCCTTTTATCAGAACTTTTGGTTATTTGGGTACTGACCCGCTGAGAGAATTAACAACAATATTATCAGTTATGCCAGGCAAACTGGCTGCTGTAATCACGTAAAATAAACTTGTCAGGAGGCAGACAAAATGATGAGAAAGGCAAAATTTTGTCAAAATTCAAATCATAACTTTTCAAAGTCTAAATTTTATGGTTCCAATTGCATTCGACAGGAAAAGTAAAGAAATTTAATGCAACTAGTAATGAATAACGTCAACACAGGCAGGGATGGAAAATCATTTACATTCATTTCGTGCATTCATTTACATTCATTTGTCTCTAATTTTTTTCATCAACAGAATACCGTAAAATGTTGTATGAAGCTTTTGTATATTTTGATATTAACTACAACTTTTGTTAATAACTAAAACCTGAATCTCTTATACATGACGAACTAGAGCTGACAGAACATGTTATTGTCTTTCAGTGAATGCAACTTACATTCACTGAAAAACAATGGTGGGTTCTTATCGTTCTAATTCATCATGCATAAAAGATACTGATTTGAGTTGTTTGCAAAAGATGTAGCTAATATCAAAACCTACAAAAGCTTAAAACACTAGTTAACAGAATTCTGTTTGTGAAAAAAGTTAAAGGCAAATGAATGTAAATCAATGCACGAAATGAATGCAAATGATTTTCCATCCCTGAACACAGGTATCAATCTTCATGATTTTGCAGCTCGATATCTCCAAAAGAATTTTCAGAATCACGAGCTGCGATGGTTATCTTGGGGCAAGTTCTGGGTGCCCCGAGTGATGTAGTCAATTGAGACCCAGGGGATGAGGCCAATTGTCATCTTGAAAGATTCCGTCTCCTCCCGGGAAGATGGATTGCATCCAGGGATGGAAAATCGTTTAAATTCATTTCGTACATTCATTTACATTCATTTTCCTCTAACTTCTTTCATCAACAGAATACCGTTAAATGATGTATGAAACTTTTGTAGCTTTTGATATTAACTACAACTTTTTTTAAAAACTTAAATCTGAATCTCTTATGCATGATAAAATAGAGCTGGCAGAACATGTTATTGTTTTTCAGTGAATGCAATTTACCTTCACTGAAAAGAAATGGTGGGTTCTTATCGCTCTGATTCATGATGCATAAGAGATATAGATTTGAGTTGTTTACAAAAGATGTAGCTAATATCAAAATCTATTTTACGGATTTCTGTTGATGAAAAAAGTTAGAGGCAAATGAATGTAAATGAATGCACGAAATGAATGTAAATGATTTTCCATCCCTGATTGCATCATGGGCAGCACCTAGTAGTTTTTCAACAAATTGATTTGTTTAGTAACCAAATTGAATCTTCTGTTCACATACCTGGTCGTCTAGAACTTGCTAATAATCAGTGGCCTTTACTTTGCCTTTCAGCATAATAAGAGCGAAAGAAAGACAATGTTAATCGTTCTTTTATTTACGATGAAAGGCACTAATACTACAACTACTAGTTCTTAGGCTCAATGGCTCTACTACTAGTAAAAGTGAGTTGAATCGTCCAATATAGATGACTGAGTTTTGACCCAAGCAGCACCTGTAGCATCTTTTTATAATAGTGAAAGAGGAAAATATTACACAATGATTACATAAAGGTTACCATGAAATATATGCAATTACATAGCAAGTCAAGACCTTCTAACTAACAGGACACATTAATGTCACATAATGGTCATTGGTAACTACATGCATCAGATTGTCACGATGTTGAGATAAAATCCGACTTATCTGGTCGCAATGATGACACAGTGTAACCTAACCTAACCTTTTTGTCTTTTTTTCCCTTTTGCCGATCTAATGTTAT